GAGAGAATTTTTTGGAGATGTGGGTGGGTGGATTTAAAAAGAGGAGAGAAAGAAAGTCGACGGATGTCTAATACATAAAGATACATTTCGTGGTGACATATACACACCACAGACAATTCGGATAGGAAGGAAAAAAAAAAAAAAAAAAAATGTACATGTACATATTTAATACTTTTGTATTTAGGCAACAATTCCTCTTTTATACAAGTTTCATTAAAATGACATACAAGGTACAATGTTTACTTTCCTTGTTTTCTGCTGTATTTTCAGTAATTGTAACAACTTGACACGAAACAGGCATTGCTACCCAAATGCAAAAATTATTAAATTGCATGACCCATCAGCCAATTAGGACAGTGACCAAAGCAATTTGTGACTGTTTTAATGAAAACATATATATATATATATATATATATATATATATATATATATATAATATTAATATGTATCTATTGCGTTCAGCATGAAACAGCCTGTCGCCTCTGAGTGTTGGCTTCAATGTTCACTTTTATCTCTGATATTGAGCACTTTATCCCATAAATATATCATATCCCTAAAACTATATATATATATATATATATATATATATATATATATATATATATATATATGGGTATGTGGGGGTCATGTAGTTACAACGTTCGAATTCTGACCATGAGACCCGGGTTCAAATTTTTCACCATGGTCGATATATCAGGATGTAAACTTCCTGATGTTATCGGAGTGGAGGAGTCGATCACAGCGTGTGGCACCTTGGAGGCTGTCGAGAGCACGAAGATAGAAGTCATCAAATTGAAACTCTATGATCTGCTCACCACAGTTGCAGTTTAAATCACAGTTGAGCTCTGTGGGTGTTGATGTGCCTGGGCGTGTGCGATAGTGAGTATACTCGAATACGTGTGGTCATATATATATGTATAAGGAGGAGTAATGGATATCAGCTTGGATTGAGGAATCGCAGAGCCGAGTACGAATCCATTACATTCACTTACGTGCTAATATCCTTGAGAAAGGTGTGAATCCTCTTCTTAAAATAGCAGGGCAGACTGGGTTCTACAGCCTTGGATGGCAACTGGTCTAGGAGAAGGACAACTCTGAATTCAAAACCTGAGGGGGGTGTTTGGGAACCTTGTGGCACGTAGTGCACCAGGTTTCTGTATTCGGCCTTCCGAAAAGTGTGGATGGTCCTGCACGAAACCTTCACCACTATAATCAAATCTCATGTGCCGGTGTCGGGCTGTCAGTTTCCTGGAAACTGATCTGCTTGACCCTCAGACGTCGGGAGCCACGACTACTCTCACCAAGCCGCGCCAACTGGAGCATTAGAAGCCGGTTCAAGCGAAGATAAAGACAAATAATAATAAGTAGGAGGATTTGATAGTCGTGGCTCCCGGGGGCACAGTCCTACGGTTAGAGAGAACTCAGTAGAGTTCCGACACGGAATATGTGAGCGAGCGGCGCTAGTTGAGTCTGATTAGGAATCTCTTCGTTACCGAGGCCCATTTGGTACAGTTGGTATGTTGTTCGCTTGACAATCCAACTGTCAGGGTTTCGATACTTGGTGGTGGATGCGCACTGCTGATGAGTCCCAATTATAGGACGAAACGGACGTCCAGTGCTTCCTCTATTCCTGTTGAGGTTTCTATCAGACTCAATGAATCAATTAAATATATATATATTAATATATAGTCAGCTGTTTGATGTTGTTCAATCCTCTCTTAAGGACTTTTCATCAATTGAATCTTCTATATTATTTTTTTTGTTTTTGATATCTTATTAATTTAATTTAGTTGGGCTAATTATAGTTTGAGCCGACCAAGCATAGAAATGAATACAATATGGGACCCAGTAAACAGGAGTGCCAGAAAAAAGCGATTAATAACACCAGGAATTGCAGTATGAGCTTTGGTAAAACCTAATATGATAACAGAAATTAATGCAATATGGGCACTGGTAAAAAAGGTGCTGAAGGTTTACAATACCCAGAAATTATTACACATATCTTCTCAAGGACACATGACACAGTGGATAAAGACGTTGGTTAGATCCAGTGACGGGACTCTAAGAGTGTGAGTTCAATACCCGGTTAAGGCAATGGAGAACTTAGAAAGGGGAATTAACAGGAGATAACTGATAACTGACATCCATTAGACATGGCACGTGGAACTAGAACAGTCTACCCCAGTGAGCGAAATAAAGTATACAGTTCGACATTCCAACCACCTGAAGAAGGCCGGACCGTACATCGGCCGAAACGTTGTAATAAATATATGAAGACAAGATGAAGACAATCGTCCGAATAATGTAAATAGTGTAATTTCAGTTTAATATAATAGATTATAAAGGGTGGGTTGTAAAATATTCTTTATTTAAAAGTGTTAATAATTTTATTAACTATTAATCGATTTTCATTAAAAAGGTTTTATTTTTTAAAATATTTTTTTTTAATAATTTCACCCAATGCAAGGTGATAATCCCACTAAGATGCAAAGGTGTTAATAGGAATGAAAAAAAGATTGAGAAGGATTTAGAAGGAACCGGAAAATCAATCCTAAACCGTAAACGATGCATAAATCTGTACTGCAGTCAAAAAGCCAGGGAAGAGTTTGAACCGGGCGATAGGTGCTACTCCTGTTGCGTTAAATAAATGAATATTAAATAAAATTAGGCAAGGACGTCAAAACTATGAATGAGACATCGGAAGGAACCGAAAACTCAATCTTAAGCAAGAAACAAGTGATAAACGTCTACTCCTCAAAAATCCAGGAAGGAGTGTGAACTGGACGATAGACGAAATTATCTACTCATATAATGGTATATGTGAAGTAGGATGTTCAAATTCTACCTTTTGTACGTTCTCTATCAATATGGGTGTTGATGGAGGGCAGCTTCAGTGGGTATAGACCACAGGTCGTGAACACATCAGCTTGATGTGAATTTCTTATGGTTTCAGCATCTACTGAAGGCCGATATCTATGAAAATTGCGCCAACTTTTCTGCACTTGTAACACGAACTGTCGCACTTCGTATCGGGATGCTAGCTGATCACTTCCATGCAGTGTCAGGCGTTCTGCCAGTCTGAGCTAAACTTCTCACTCTGAAATAACAACCGGATGTAGCAATGGCATTTTATCATTTTAAGGATCACAATATATTTTGTTTCTTTGTTTGGTTGTTTCTTTCTTTCTTTTTTTCTCACAAATCAATTTTCTTTCTTTTTTTTCTTTCTTTCTTTCTTACCAATCTATTTTCTTTCTTTCTTTCTTTCTTAACAATCAATTTTCTTTCTTTCTTTCTTTCTTTTTTCTTTCTTACCATGGAATTTCTTTCTTTCTTTCTTTCTTTCTTACCAATCTATTTTCTTTCTTTCTTTCTTTCTTTCTTTCTTTCTTTCTTTCTTTTCTTACCAATCTATTTTCTTTCTTTCTTTCTTTCTTTCTTTCTTTCTTACCAATCAATTTTCTTTCTTTCTTTCTTTCTTTCTTTCTTTCTTTCTTTCTTTCTTACCAATTAATTTTCTTTCTTTTCTTTCTTTCTTTCTTTCTTTCTTTCTTTCTTTCTTTCTTTCTTACCATGAAATTTCTTTCTTTCTTTCTTACCAATCAATTTTCGTTCTTTCTTTCTTTCTTTCTTTCTTTCTTTCTTTTCCATGAAATTTCTTTCTTTCTTTCTTTCTTTCTTTCTTTCTTTCTTACCAATCAATTTTCTTTCCTTCTTACCAATCAATTTTCTTTCTTTCTTTCTTACTTTCTTTCTTTCTTTCTTTCCAGTCAATTTTCTTTCTTTCTGCAAATGTATTGATATTACAAAAGTTACAATTAATTTTCAATATGGAGTTCTTTTCTTCCCAATTCGTAGATAGGAATTTCCTCGAAACAAAGTTGACTGGCTCTCAGACTGAGATCAGAGAAGACTAAAATTTTGAATGAACTATGTCGATTTTTCGATCCATCTGTTAAATATCTCAGCGATATTTAAACCAGACTACAGAATTTATATCTAATGATCTAAATAAAATATGACGTCAGATATAAGAATATGTTCTTTTCGACTCCCCTGCTGTTCAAGTATGAAATACATTCAATAAGTGATTTAAAATATATTAACTCAAATTAAATAAAATGTTTCTGTAAATATCTTTTACTGCAATCAATTGACGTTAGCATTCAAAGACATCCAAAGGAGTCTTTATAATAACAAAAGAGGCAATAGCATGGCGGATGCATTAATGAACGAATAAGATGGCGGGAAAAATTGGGGGGAAAACGCTTTTTGGACGCCATTTTATTTTCAGCATCCATATCCAAGAAAAATAAGATTTCCATAACAGCGATTAGATATGTGGTTCTATTATTGAAACTATGAAATAATCTTTCACGAAACGTAATTCGAAATAGTCGCTTTTTTGTTTTGTTTTACTTGATTTCTTTCAACAAAGACGCCATTAAACCTTGATATATTATGAAAGAGAGACCGTAGAGAATTCGCCAAATAGATCATTAAAATAAACAAACATATAAATAAATCTCTTTCTTTGAGGAAAAATTAGCAGTTTTAATAAAAAGAGTAATGATGGTTTTGACAGAGAAGAAACAGTTTTGCTGAAAGAGGACTGTGAAAATGAACAGCTTTGATTTTGCGCCATTTGATTCTTTCAAGTAAATTTGCTTTTTTTCTATTTAACTTATTTTTACAGAATTGTAGCTGAATATCGTCAGAAATAGATTATCGACTTTTCTGCACAGTCAGGATTGCCGATTCCTTGGGGAAAGAAAGTGGAAAAAGTAGAGAGAAAATCATAACAAAGATATGATTATTTTTTGTTTTGCATGAACGGAGGATGGAAAGATGTTGAGATTGATGAGTAAAGATAACAAAAACACCAAAAAAAGAAACAAGATATATATATATATATATATATATATATATATATATGAACAGATTTAGATAGATAGATAGATGACGAAGAACAATATGAAGAAACTGATATATATACAGAATCAGATAAACAGATTTGTATATAAGGAAAAGATAGATAGATACATAGATAGATAGATAGATAGATATGTATGAAGAGATTGAGATAGATAGATAGATAGATAGATAGATATGTATGAAGAGATTGAGATAGATAGATAGATAGATAGATAGATAGATAGATATGTATGAAGAGATTGAGATAGATAGATAGATAGATAGATAGATAGATAGATAGATAGATAGATAGATAGAAAGAAAGAAATGAACTGATTAATATAGATAGATAGACGGAGACCAATATGAAGAAACCGACGTAAACACACAATCAGATAAACAGATTTGAATATAGGCAATAGATAGATAGATAGATAGATAGATAGATAGATGAGATAGATACTGGGATATTAACAGACTGGGATAGATAGATAGATAGATAGATAGATAGATATGAATATAGATATAATATATATATATATATATATATATATATATATATATATATATATATATATATATATATATATATATATATATAGATAGATGACCAATATGAAGAAATTTGTATAGATTGGCATATTCTGTCTCAGAAAACCTTTGGAAGTGCTTTTTTGTCGGCCTGAGAATTGTCCCTACACGTCATATTTGTTATGAACAGTAAATAAGTTGTCGTAATATAGCAGGTTAATTATATTGATTATATTATTATGTGGTTTATTTGTATAGTTCATTTGTAGAGCCTAGATCTGTCTGAACTTGATAAAATCTCGTATGCATTTTCTTCTTCTATGCACCATATAATCTAATATCATGTTAACTCTCTTCTGTAATGAGAATGTATATCTGGGTAAGAATTCAGTTCGAATTCTCCAGTAAAAGCTGTAAACTTTATCCCAATAACAATTAACTATGTCCAAGATTAATTTTTCCCAACTTATTTAAAACCATTTTCTTTTGAAACATGCATTTAGACAGAAATGTGCTTGTCTTTTCAGCTGTGCACCTCTTTGTCACCCCACCTAAAAAACAAAAAACAAAAAAAAACAAAAAAAAAAACAAACAAACATATATTTCTTCCGTCTTCCGATATTTGGACTCTGGTTCCTAAAACCTTCAACCACCAAACCAGCTAATGGTTTGGTTTGGTTTGTTTTACTCTATATCAACCTCAATGGTTAAATTAATGTCGACAAGAATTTTATTGCTGGTATTATTTTTTTTCAAACATTTATTGCTGCAAATATGTTTTTCTTCAAAAATCTTTGGCTGGTAATATTTTTTTCCAAAAATTTAGTGCTGGTAATAATTTTTTTGCAAACATTTACTGCTGGTAATATATTTTGACAAAAAAACGTTTTGCTGGTAGTAAAACCTATTTTTACACTTTCATAGTATTTTGACCTTGGGTGTAAGTATTTGCCCATAGCTATGACCCTAACAGTTGCTACCAACCTGCATTAGTATCTGAGAACACCTCAAAATCTCATGATCAAAGACCTTGCTGTTGGATGTAGTTTATCGTCCTACCCAGGACAACCGAACCAGATAAATTTAATGAAATTTTTAAGGGTTTTTCCATTTAAATTGACTAACCAATGTATACGACACTTCTCTCACGTGGGTGTGTATTAATGGGCATAGTTTTTTAAAAATCAATAGATTGAAACTCCCTGATGTAAATTATTTTAACTTTTGTTAATATCAAGACATTTGCATAATCCTTAAATTAGTGGGATTCCAGTGCTAATTTCTATTTTCATTTCACAGTGACAAGATGCCATATAGAACGGAAATGATTGGAATCGTCTGTTTATATAAATAAGCGGAGTTGAGCAGAGTTAGCATTCGGTCTTTGCCACGTGCTAAGCTCTTGGTGCTTGTCGAACTTTCCGTGCAGAGAGGAAACCAGAGGAGGCTATGCGGAAATGCAGAGTCTCGTCTGGGGAGGTAGACAAACCCAACGCGGTTAATACGGAGTCTACGGGGAAATTTTTGCCCAACCCTACGAGCTCGGAATAAACTAACGTTAAAGCGGCCATGTGCCATATACCGATCAGTAGGGAGCTCGGGTAAATACCGAGTTAGCATTCTGCCTTAGACGCGCTCTAATCTCTTAGTGCTTGTCGAACTCTCTGCCTTCGAGCAGAGAGTAACCCAGACGAGGCTCTGCGTAATGGCAGAGTATACTCTGGGCGGGGGTAGAATACCCTACGCAGTTATTACGGGGTCTCCGTGGAAAATATGCCCGCGCCCACGGGCTCGGAAAAAGCCACGTTAAACCGGTATTGTGCCACATCTCGCTCTGTGGGTAGCTCAAGGAAATACTGATTTAGCATTAGGCCAATTGTTAAGAGTATGATGGTGTAGAAAACCTATTTCATTAGTGTCATGGGTCTTTACCTAAAACTACAGAATGAACTCTTCTTAACACTATGTAAACTACGCCTCTCAAGAGAGAGGGTCGAATCAAAAAGGACACAAGAATGTCACTTATATTAGCACATGTTGAAATGAAAAAATTACAAATTACAATGTTTAGAAATAAAAATGTCCGTGTTTTCAACTTTACTCCCCTAGAACGTATTCTAACATATCATACCAATTTGGAATCAGGTTGGCTCTGAGAGAAAATTAAAATAAATTCCGTGTCGGATCAGGATCCGCGATCCTGAAAATTTTGGATTCTCAAGTTTTCATTACTGTGACTGTTTTCGGCGCTTTTTTAAGTTATTTTTTGCGACGAAATTTTTTCTCGATAACAATTTTTATAGATTGGAAATTGTTGTCGATTCCGTGATGAAATCCGGTACCAATAAATAACAAACGCCAGGAATGAATATATGAAAATAATGTATTAACGTAATAATGCAGGTTAGTAGTTTCAGGAATACGGGTTAGTAGCAAAATATATATATATATATATACAGTCTTTGGTATTGAAGTATCGCTGTATGACTTCTTACTGAGTCTACGTGCTACACTCACGGTGACTCTTGCTCGCTCCGTTCGTTCTGTCTGTCTGTTACCTTCACCCCCTGTTGCTCTCGTCTCTTACTCTCGTCTCGCTCTTGCAGTAGTATATGTATATACTGGGTGAGTTCATTTGTATAAAAAGGGGTGGACCCCTCAACAGAAATAAATTTTGGAAATTTATTGCGAAATCCATCGAAAGTCATCCATGAAATAAAAATAATTGAACATACGGAAAATAAGGACCTACGTACATCAAGTTGCTTTTGAATTAAGTAGTAACAGAAGAATTATCGTTGAGCTTTTAAAAAGTATGCTTAAATATTTATGGAATACTTAAATGCAACGATCAATTTTGAGTTTTTCTGCGGTTTATTTTTGTTTATCGGATCGAACTCACTCTTAAGTAACCTAATGAGAGAAACTTGTTAACCATTACAACACGTCGAAGTGCTGATATAAGTATAAGGTGATTTTCTAAACTTAGATTAGATGTGACACAAAACTGAAAGTAGTGGGCACGCAACGTGACTCGAACTCACTATTCCGTTTTAATTGATCGGGTAATACAAGCTTGCTAACGTTGAAGTGCCCAGTTGTGTAGGGCTATGATTTGCAAAGTAATCGAAATTCGACAAATAACAACCAGGAATAGATTCTTAATATCCCCTGTGACCTTACTAGTGATTCTTGATATTTCTAGACTGACTGTAAAATATATAGGGTAGAGAGGTTAATACGATGAATTTAAATTTGAGTTATCCTAAATTGGTAAAATTAATAATGGTGAAGATAAAAAAGAAGACAAAAGAAAACAAAAAAAGAAGAAAAAATGGAGGAAGATGACGAGGTGGAAGAAAAACAAGAAGTAAAAGAAAAGGTAAAAGTGAAAAAAGAAGAAAAACAGAAGAAGAAGAAAAAGTAAGGAAAAAGACGAAAATAAGAAGAGGAAAAAGGAGAAAAAAAGTGGAAAAAAGATGAAAGAAGATGAAGGTGACAAAGATGACGAAAACCAAAGAAGAAAAAGAAAAAAAAAGAACATTAAGAAAAAGAACAACAAAAAAGAAAAAGGAAGAAGAAAAAAAGAAGAAAACGATAATGAAGAAGAGAAACTGAAGAAGTAAAAATGAAGTAAAAGAAAAATTGGTAAAAATTTATAAAGAAGAAAAAAGGAAAATAAGGACCTACGTACATCAAGTTGCTTTTGAATTAAGTGGAAAACAAAAGAAGAGAAAAAAAAGGAGAAAAAACGAAGATGACGAGGTAGAAGAAAATAAAGAAGTAAAAGAAGAGGTAAAAGAGAAGAAGAAGAAGAAGAAGAAGAAGAAGAAGGAGAAAAAGAAGAAGAAAAAGAAGAAACAGCCGAAGAAGAAAAAGGAAGGAAAATGACGAAAATAAGAGGAAAACGGAAAAAGTGGAAAAAAGAAGAAAAACCTGAAAGAAGATGAAGGAGAAAAGGATAACGAAAAAAGAGAACACAAAGAAAAAGAAAAATGAACATTAAGAAAAAGAAAACAACAAAAAAGAAGATGAAGAAGAAAAAAGAAAAAATTATAACGAAGAAGAGAAAATGAAGTAAAAGAAAAATTGGTAAAAATTAATAAAAAAGAAGACAAAGGAAGAGAAAAAAAAGAAGAAAAAAACGAAGATGATGGGGTAGAAGAAAAACAAGAAGTAAAAGAAGAGGTAAAAGAGAAGAAGAAGAAGAAGAAGAAGAAGAAGAAGAAGAACATCAACAACAACAACAAGAAAAAGGAAGGAAAAGACGAAAATAAGAAGAGGAAAAGATGGAAAAAATGGAAAAAAGATGAAAGAAGATGAAGGAGATCATGATGATGAAAAACAAAAAAGTACAGGCAGAAAAAGAAAACGAAAGAACATTAAGAAAAAAGAACAACAAAAAAGAAGAGGAAGAAGAAAAAAAAAAAAAAACGATAATGAAGAAGAGAAATGAAAAAGTAAAAATGAAGTAAAAGTATAAAAAAGATAAAAAAAAAAAAGTGAATGAGAAGAAATGGGTTAACATAAACTTTCGATTAAAAATAAAAGAATTTTACTCATGTCTTGGGGCAACTAGTAAATATTTAATTACAATTTCGAATCTCTATGTGTTGCATAGCTACGTGTATCCATCTGTGATTTAATATGTATCTTTTTTTCTGTTCTTGTATGCGTGTAATTATGTGTGCATATGAGTATGTGAAAGTGTATGCGTTGGTGTTTGAGTAAAACCTTTTTTTCATATGTCCATAAATGGGCGATTGTTTACGTTATCGTATAGTTTTTTTTGTTTCTCCTTTACATATGTCTGTGTTTATACGCTCTCATATTGCCATAAGTGTATATGTTTCTGTATGTATAAAATTTAATTTTACTTATGAAATGGCTAGATGTGACCGTAAGTTCTACGCTAACAATTTCTTCTTTCGCACTTCTCCATTGTGGAACTCTCTTCTCACCGCTTGATTTAATTGTTAAAAATTTAAATGCTATGTCAATCGTTATCGGTTGCCATCTTACTTCCCATTCATTTATTGTTCTCCCTCCTGAATAACTTTCTTACTCATATCCTTTATGTCTCAGTGGATGTATTGACTTGCTTGCGATGAAATGATTAAAACATATCGCTATATAGACCTACACCTACATGTATATATATATATAGTGATTTTCAAAGCGTAGATCAGATGTGGCACATGGCCGATAGAATGGGTCACCCAGCGAGAATCGAACTCACTATTCAGTCGTAATTGTTCTAGCGACACAAGCTTGCTAACCATTACGATATTTATTTCTGTTAAAATGCAGAAAATGTGGCACAAGGCCTAAAAAGGGGTATCAGTCTTAACTTTAAACTTAGCTAGCCACAAACACTGACCCAAACATACCAAAAATATTCCTAACACCCAAATAACACACTCTTACTAACCTTTCTTACTACATCCACCATAATAACTTATGTCTCTATGAAAAAAACTAAATAGTCCCCATACATATAATTCTTTCTCTGTCGAGGGAGGGGAATAAAAAATAACAAATTAAAAAAAAAAAAAAAAAAACAAAGAGTATGTACAATATGAATATAATCTATTTACAAAAAAAAAAAATAAAAAAATAAACAAAATAATGTTAGTAATAAAACACCCACAGCCACTTAAATGTGGCAGAAACATCAGTTAACTTGACGAAATCAATGCAGGACTAAAAAAAATAAATGAATAAATAAATAAAATCATCCATACCTAGCACGCACTCATTCAGACTCGAGAACAAAAATGAAAAACACAAAGGCAAAAAAAAAGAAAATCACCCCACATCCACCAGAGAACTAACGAGTGAGGGAATGGGGAATTAAACTAAAGAAAAAATAGGGACAGAAATAAAAAGGTCCAATGATCAAACACAACCTGGTTATGTTTACTGGGAAAAAAAAGAAAAAAAAAACTAAAGAATCAAAAAACACAACCTACACCAGCTTAATGACAGGGATGGGTTGCCCAAGTTTAACCCAGAAAGAACAATATCCTGATACATAACCGGCATCAAAATGCCTCTCTAGTTCAGCCCCTTTTACTCGGCACAATCGCGCAACATTCACCCACCTTTTGCCAAATTCCGATGAAGTGAGCCGCCGCTTTTACATCCTAATCTTGACTTTAAGCTGATGGTTAAGGGAACAAGATAAGTCGGGAAGAAGTGAACTTCTCGCCTTCATAGAATTCCTTCTGACGTGCCGTCCAAATCACGGCTCTCATACAAAGCACATGTGTTCAGCTATAGTCACCTGCGGCACAACATTGCGACAAACAGAACTGGCTTCAAGGACAAAGAACTTTCCTTGCAGCATGCGGACCATGAGGCCTTCAACAAACCTACACAACGGCGCTACCACCCTGCAATGAAAGAAGGCGTGACCCAGGATCTTGACACCGCCATCACAGCAACGGCAGTTTGGAGATTTCTCCAAGCACGCTGAACAAAGTCTTTTGGCGACCCAGAGGGCCCCACGAATCACGAACCAGGTGAGTGATGTCTCGTCCTTTTATAGAACAATTTCAACCCGGGCACCCAACGGCATACTGAGCGAGCCTCCTGCTCCGTAAGACCGGGCTCGTCAATCAGCTCAACACGGACGGAGCCCTTGACTAACACTTGATATAATGCCCTGATTTTCTAAGCGTAACTTAAATGTGGCACAAAGCCGAAAGTAAGGAGCATCCAGTGATGACTGAACTCACTACTAAGTGGTAATGGCTTTAGGGAGACACGCTTGCTAACCATTACACCACCCAGAGGTGCCCCTACATGTATTTATATATGGTGGACTCTCCCGTCATATTCGACGTATGAGGGTCAAGCTGCTCAGTTCCTAGGAATCGACAGCCAGACACAAGCACATGAGATTTGATTATTGTGGTGAAGGTTTTGTGCAGGACCATCCACACTTTTTGAAGTGACGAATACAGAGACCTGGCGCACCGAATGCCACAAGGTCCCCAAACGACCCTCTGCAGGTTTTGAATTCAGAGTTATCGTTCTCCTACACCAGTTGCCATCCAAGGCTATAGAACCCAGTCTGTCCTGCCATATACCTATAGCTGGAGGGAGAAAAAGGGGTATTATTATTTTCCTTAGGGGTATTAGCAAGTCAGTGAATGCATTGGATTCAACTGGAATTGAACTCTGATTCTCAAACAGTGCCGTTATCTACTTGCCTATATATATATATATATATATATATATATATATATATATATATATATATATATATATGACCAAAGAAGATACAAGTTAGACAACTCCACCAGTTCATCAAATTGAAAAACACACCAATACAGATTGATGTCAAGTACGTTAGCGATGTGAAGTCATTTACATGGGCTTTAAGCAGGTCATTAAGGCAATATGTGTAAAAGTCTTAATTAAATTGATTTTACATTTTACGGGACACTAAAGATTCCCAACGGATACACACACTGGTAAATATCTTTTTCCAATTAACTCAAGTTTATTACCACTACTCTCTGTAAGAATGCCTACCCGTTGGACATTGTTAAATCAGTGATTAAGACCAAAATTTCAGAATTCAATACAGTCAAACCAGCTATAAAACAAAAATTTCCTATGTACCAGCGCCTTCCTTGGCTGTGTAGCATCAGTCATACAATATGTTAAGCGGGTTTCTTTAGCAGTTCAACATTGTTACTTTGCTGCTAACACTCGCGTAGTTTTTTTTCTGGCAAAATGAAATGGCGTTCTCCCTCCACATCATAATAGTTCTTTGATTTATTGATTTAAATGTAGTTGTGGTTCACACTATATAGGGAGAACGACTCAAAGGCTGGATGTCAGAATAATGCAATACGTTCCAACGAAAATACGAGATTTTATGTATTCTCCATTAGACATCCTGACCAACACATATGGGTTACCATCGCAGATCACTCAATAAATAACCATAATTGTAACGTTAATTTTAGTGTGGAGTCATTTACTATTCTTAGCAAGTCTCACTCGAATTGCCACTTAAAAGTATTGGAGGCCATATATATTTTGTCCTTGAGAGTTCGTTGTGCAAACTAATTTCTATTTCCCCCTTCATACATATTAAACACAGCATTTTATTGACAATTCTGTATTTATCAACTTCGATTTAGTTCTGTTGAGCGAGGTTCGAAACCGGTTAGCAAGCTAGTTTTTCATTTTAATGATTATCATGAGTGGTAATAAATACAAAATTTGTCTTTTTCATGGCAGTTTTTAAATTAGGTGCCACTAATCAAACATCACTCTCTCTCTCTCTCTCTCTCTCTCTATCTATCTATCTATCTATCTATCTATATATATATATATATATATATATATATATATATAGTGATATTCCAAGCGTAGCTTAGATGTGGCACGAGGCCGAAAGTATAAACCTGCCAGTGAGTATCAAACTCACTACTCAGTAATAATTGTTCTAGCGATACAAGCTTGCTAATCATTACTCTGTCTGTCTCTCTGTCTTTCTCTCTGTCTCTCTGTCTTTCTCTCTGTCTTTCTCTGTCTGTCTTTCTCTCTGTCTGTCTGTCTCTGTCTCTCTGTCTCTCTCTCTGTCTCTCTCTCTCTCTCTCTCTCTCTATATATATATATATATATATATATATATATATATATTTTAAGACATTTTTATCTTTAGACGTTTTTTTATAGATAATAATATTTAAATAAACAGTATTAATAACATTTACCGGTTTTTAATGTCCGAGAAATTTTCATAGAAAATTCACGTCGATAATTGTTATTAATACTGTTTATTATAAACAGAGCGCTTACATAAATATTTGTATGTATGAAAAGAATGTATAAGCATAAAAATGTTTTAAAATCATTCTCGGACTTTTGTCCATTTGATTATATATATATATATATATATATATATATATATATATATATATATATATATATATATTGGGAGAGAGAGACAGAAAGGGGGGAGAAAGATACGTATATGTGTGTGCGCGCGTGTTTGTGTGTATGTGCATGTGGTTACACAAACGTATTTGTATAGACGTATACGCTAATATATGTGTATGTATAAATGTGTGCGTTGTTGTAAATAATTCGCTGTGGGTGAGCCTCACGATGTCGGCTTACGTATGACAATTATTTCAGTACCTGTGTATGTGGCTTCATATGCTTTCAACCAATGAAATTTGAATATTTTTACCGCAGGCTCTAATTTGAT